AATAAAATCTTAAAAAATAAAATAAAATAGGGGCACCTGGGTGGCTCAGAGGTTTGAGTGTCTGCCTTTGGCTCAAGTCGTGATCTGGGGTCCTGGGATCAAGTTCCACATCAGGCTCCCTGCAGGGAGCCTACTTATCCTTCTGCTTATGTCTCTGCCTCTCTCAGTGTGTGATTATCTTTCAAAAAGTAAAATAAAATTAAGCTCTTTTCATGTGATCATTGACATTTAGGTTTCTTCATGTACTCAGCTTATTTTTATATTGAGGTATTTTACTGATAGTGACTTATAGGTGGGAAGTTAAGTAAATAAAAGTTTTTAAGGATAGTAATCTAGTGACCTATGTGTTACAAATTTGTTTACCAAGTTTGAGATTTGTCTTTTAAGTATATTAGGTCTTTAGCTATTTAGGAAATACTTATTTTTAGGTAATCCTGTCTGTTTTCTTGTAAGATTTCTAAATTCTGTAACATGCTCTGAAGGGCCTTCATCCTCAAATTATAAAAAACTATTATTACATTTCTTTTAAAACTTCTGTGGCTTTAATATTTTTAAGATTAAAAAAATTTGAAAGAGAAAGAGCAGGGGGAGGGACAGAAGGAGAAAGAAAAGCAGACTCCTCACCAAGCAGGGAGCTCAACTCAGGGCTTGATCCTGGGACCCTAGGATTACCATCTGAGCTGATTGCAGGCGCTTAACCATCTGAGCCACACAGGCATTATGGCTTTAATCTTTATGTTTAAATATTTGATCATTTGGGAATTGACTTTTGTACAAGATGAAAAATTGAAATCCAAGTGGACAATTTATCTCAGAAATGTTTCTTTCATGTGTGGTTTTTTTTTAAATTTTTAATTGAAGCATAGTAGATATACAGTGTTATATTAATTTTCAGATTTAAAATCAAGAACATTTTTTAAATAATCTGCCCTTTCCCCATTGATTTGAAATGCTACCTTCACCATATATAAAATTTTCATATAGGGATCCCTGGGTGGGCGCAGCGGTTTGGCGCCTGCCTTTGGCCCAGGGCGCGATCCTGGAGACCCGGTATCGAATCCCACGTCGGGCTCCCGGTGCATGGAGCCTGCTTCTCCCTCTGCCTGTGTCTCTGCCTCTCTCTCTCTCTGTGTATGACTATTGTAAATAAAAAAAAAAAAAAAAAAAAAAAAAACTAAAAAAATAAAATTTTCATATATACATGAAGTAATTTCGGGACTTTAATTTCTGTTTTATCGTTTATCAGCTTCACAATATCACATTATTTCAGTCACTTCCACTGTCTAATAGTTTTGAAATCTGGTAGGCTAAAGTTCCTCTCTTCCCCATTATTCCTTCTTTTTTTAATTTTCTTGGCTGTTTTCTGCCTTCACTCTTCCAGATGCACTTTAGAATCAATTTGTCAAATTTATTAAGTTCCCTCTAAGTTCTTTTGGTATTAACTGGCATGACAGATCTGGCTTTAATGATGGTTTTAATTTTGTTTTGACCAAAGTTTTATATTCTTATTTTTCCTTCAGTATTAGATTTAAAATTGGAGTCAACCTGTTCCCTAATCTTAATGGGGTTTTTTTGTGTTTCTTGTTCCATGCTCTTTGCAAGTTTTTGACTTTTACTTCTAACAGTGTATCACAGATGATCTCATCTTAAACGTTCAGCAGCACTAAGGTCATTTTTAAAAACCATCTTGAGAAGACAAATATCACTTGGTTTAATTCACATGTGAAATCTTAAAATATAAATGAACAAACAAAAGTAGAAACAGACTCATAATACAGAGAACAAACCAGTGGTTGCCAGAGGGGAGGGGCTTGGGGAATATAGATGAAATAGGTGAAGGGGATTAAGAGGTACAGACTTCCAGTTATAAAATAAGTAAATCATGGGGCTGTAATGTACAGCATGGAGAATATAGTCAATAATACTATAATGTATGGTGACAGATGGTAACTGCACTTAACCATGGTGAGCATTTTGTAATATATGTAATTGTCAAATCACTAAGTTGTACACCTGAAACTAATATTTTATGTCAACTGTACTTCAATTTTAAAAAAATCCGAGAGCCAAACTTTTGCAGGGCTATGTGCTTCCTCACATGCTTGTCCTGCCTGGGACTGAGTTTATGGCACATGTCTATCAATTATATAGCTGTTCCTCCCCTTAGAATCAGAGATTATTCTCCAGTTAGGATGGATTCTTAAATAGGTGAATAACCATTTTTGGGAAATTTGATAATAACCTTAATCTAGCGATTGGTAAGATATGCGTATTATATAAAAATAAATCAGTTTAATGGTTACAGAGGAAGGAAACTTTGATATATTAATTGTTCAAAATAATAAAAAACCTAGCATTTAAATTTTTTTAAACTCAGTATAAGTCATGGCACCAGTTAAAAAATAACAAAAAATAGAATTTAGGCTACCTTACAGGAAGTATGGCATCGAGATTAGAAAAGGTAATAGTTCAAATCTATGCTAATCAAACAGTTCTTATAATTTCATGCACCTGTTTTGTGCCAGAGCTAAACCAGATGCTAGGATACAAAGCTGAGAGACATAACCCACTTATAACTATGTAAATGGGGGATCCCTGGGTGGCGCAGCGGTTTAGCGCCTTCCTTTGGCCCAGGGCGCGATCCTGGAGACCCGGGATCGAATCCCACGTCGGGCTCCCGGTGCATGGAGCCTGCTTCTCCCTCTGCCTATGTCTCTGCCTCTCTCTCTCTCACTGTGTGCCTATCATAAATAAATAAAATAAAATAAAAATTAAAAAAAAGAACTATGTAAATGATAGCTAGAACAAGCAAGTGATCATAGGTTTTATGAACAGTCAAAAGAAGTGTATTCAGAACTAGACCACAGAGGCTAGGGGACAGCTTATAAAGGAGAAGGTGACACACAGAGCAGAGGCTTAGAACGTGGAGCTATGGCCCTCACTAGCTCTGGAACCTTGTACAAATTATTTAACCTCACTCTATCTCAGTTTCTTCATGTGTAAGATGGAGTCAGTAATAATACATTTTACACTATTGTCCTCAGCATTAATGAGATAGTGTGTATATGGAAGCCTCTGGAACAGACTTTGGCACACTACTTAGAAAGTAGTTTGGAATTCCATTTTGAAGTGCTATGAGGTAGAAGTTGTCCCAGCAGGGAGACTTCCAACAGAAGGAAAGGTATACGCCAAAGCTAGAGTGGATGAGCTGTGGCCTTTCTGGAACTGCAAAGTATTTAACCTGATTGGAATGGAGGGAGTAACTGAAGATGACGCTGGGAAGAGAGGCAGGGGTGAGATCTCCAGATAGGAGATGTTGTACCATGTTGAGGAATCTGAGAGGCATTGAAAGTGTTATGGAATCTTTGAAGGCCTAAAGTAGGGGAGTGTCCAGAACAGTTTCTCCAGTTGAAGGACTGGTTTGTTACAGATGTGTGGAGGGGAAAGCAGAGCTATATGAAGTAGCTTGGTTGCACATTGGAACTATCTGGAGAACTTTCAACAGTCTGCCTAGGTTCACTCCGGACCAGTCTTATCAGCAGCTCTGGGAGTGGGACTGAGGCGTTGATATTTTTTATTGAGTTCTGTATAATTCCATTGCACAGCCACGATGGTGAATCACTGAGTTAGAGAATAACTGTGTTCAAATCAGATTTGATCAAGTTTCAAATTAAACAAGTGCCAGCAGCATAAAGGAGCCAGAGCAAGGAGATAACAAATAGGATATAGTGGTCAGTTGAATGAGGGGTTGATTATTTCTGGACCAGATCACTGGGGTGATAATGATCATATACCAAGACTCAGTCGTATACTAAGACTGAGAACATGAAGGAGTTTGGCTATGTGACCTTGTTGAGTGGGCATGAGAAAGAAAGAATTTGATTTTAAGATGTGGGTATAGAGGGAAAATGATATAGGGTAGATGGGCAGAGAGAGAAACTGAAGGGGAGGAGCTGATGGTACAGTTGGAAACTTAGAAGACAGAGAAGATAATTGGTAAGTGAGACCCCTGAGAAGACAGAACATGCAGAGACATGAAAGAAATCATTTATATGAGAATTTCCACTCAAAGAGAAAGAAGTAAAAATATGTGAGGGTGCAGATAGGTTCACAGGTCAAAGAAGAGAAGCTATAATATAGCCTGATGGCTTGATTTCCTTACTGAAGGAAATAGGAGTATCTCCTGAGAATCAAAAGGTGAGAGAAGGGGGCTAAGGAACATGGGCAAGTGCTGGGAGAGCCAAGGGGGCCATCTGAGAAGAAGGTATCTTGTCCTGCTCTTAAATTTTGTTTTTTCCCCCCAGAGTTTCAGTATGAACCTCTTACATACTTTCTGGGTGATCTCTTTTGTTATATTAGATTCTTAAGAAAAACATTGATAAACTGAGTTTGTCCAGAGGAGTTAAGTAGTTAATAGAGTTCGGAAAGTTATCAGTTAGCTTCTCATTTCTGGAGTAGCACTTGGCTACCTTAATTTCAAATTTAAAGTGTCGATATCACTTGAAAACACTGAACACATCCCACAGTTTTCAGTATCACTAGGTAGCATAATTTTTTTTTTCTCTAGTGTGATAAAACCTCAAAAACTACCAACTCACTTGAAAACATGTTAACTTTTAGTAAAAACATTTTCTATTATTCTATGAATATATCCTAATAGATATTTTACTTCATATTTTGCTTCATACTTTTTTTTGGTCTATGATGTCTAATAAAGACCTAACTAGATTTCTCAATGCTAATAGAAACTATGATTTGCATTATGTATTCTCTAAATATTTTTTCCCCTCAAAACCCACTAAAACTGAACTATTTACAGTTTTCCTCTTCAGCAGAATTAATTATATTCACTACAAGAAAGCAGTCATTAGAATGGCTTTTTAGTAATGCTTCTTGTTGTAAGTCACTTTAAGCAAAACTGGGGTTAGTACCGTGAATGTATAGATGGAAGGTGACCTTGTATTGCAGAACATTAACCTAATATTTTGTTATCATTTCAGGTAACATTTCATTTGTTGCGTTTCCAGTTTCCAGCACCAACTCACCAACAAAGATTTTACCAAAAACCTTAGGACCAATAAATGTGAATGTTGGACCCCAAATGGTAAGAAAACCATCAAATCTTAGAATTCGAGGTTTTGCTTAGACAACACTAACTTAAAGGATGATGGTACTAAAGATGCTGGACAAAAATTCTGGTTCACTTTTTAACTCAGTCACTTTTTAAAGAAGTTTTGTTTTCATCTGATGTAACTGATTAAGTCTTAAGAAAAGCTTTTTTTCTTTGAAGAAAAAAGAAATGCATTGTGCTCTTAAGTGCTTAATTTTCATGAATCTGGATTCTGGATGTGTACTATCAAGGTTTTTGCTTGCTCCTTATGATAGGCTTCTCTTGTTTTTAGTTTGATCAAGTTGATTTGAAATCTGTTGTTTTATGTTCTCCTCTTTCTTTCTTTTTTTTTTTTTGTTCTCCTCTTTCTTATAAACTATATACTCTCATATAAATTGAATATGACCCAACAGTTAATCTATATCCAGAGCTATCAATCTTTAGCAGTAGAAATAATGAATGAAAAACAGAAAATATTTAACTGTTTCTCTGAAGGTATTTCCATTAATTATGCTAGAGCTTGAAGTATATAGCACTTTTAGAAAGCCTTACTTATAAACAAAGTCACATGCAATAACTCTAAAAACTATACTTAATTTAAGGTCTCAGCCACCTTTAGCAAAAGTATGTAAACACCTGAACTATAATTCTTCACTGCCAGTGTTTGCATGTTCTCATCTATAGAGCAGGAAGGATAAATTTTGCCCATAGTACTCAGTACTCTGGACTCTGTTAAATGCAAAATTATTTAGACAAAAGATGCATTTTAACATACCTAGTGGCTTCAGCAAATCTTTAAGATTTTAAGACATTCAAGCCATGACATTTTTCTTGATCACTTGAGGACTGTTAATTATCTACAGAATTCAAGCTAAAGATCTTACTCAATTTACTGTAACTATGTGAAGAATGTAATCTAGCTCCAGACCTCATGGAGACTTAAGCTCAGGTAAGTATCCCCATTTCAAGGTAGTTCAGGGTGTATTTCAAATGTTTACTAAGCTTTTCCTTCTCACCAGCCACTCCACTGGGTGTAAATGAGATAAGGCACCTGACTTTAAATTAAAGTCTTTATTTGGAAATGTGATTCTATAAATGACAAAATTAAATAAACATACCCGAACTCTTAGAGTGTCTCCCTCACAGTACTCCTCTATTTTGAGAGACTGTTTGCTGTCAATATTGGAGTGATGCTGCGGTGGCTCAAATTTGAATTCCTCTTTTGGAAACAGTTTTTCTTTCCATTGTCAAGTTGAACTAGTATACACATAAGTACTGTCATACCTTAGTTCTGACAATAAGTACTCTTGTATACTATTTACCTCATTACATAACCAACCTCAGGATCAGCAAAACAAAGGTCAGAAGAAGGAAAGGAGATTTGGGGTGCTTCTTTAAACCAGGGCTTAATGTGTGTCTTTAATACCCAGGTGCTTTTTACAGTTCCCAGATCTTAGAAATGAGAGCTTTCTTTTTGACTTCCTAATTGTAGAATCCCAGTTAGAGCCATTTCTCTTTTCTCTTGTTTATCTCTCTTGAATATTGTCTCCTCACCTTCAGTCTCTCATCTGTGATGTAAAAGCATTTTTTTTAAGTTAGAAAACTCTTGAATGAAACCTTTTTTTCTTTTTTAAAACCTGCTTCTTACAGTTGTCTTTCTCTACTTGCCATTTAAATTTCACATATCTCTTTGCAAGCCAAGTCTTAATGGTAAATAGAAATTTTTAAAAGTCCCAAGAAGAAAGTTGTTTTCTGTGTTTATAGAAAGTAGTTTAGCAAAATCTGTTTTAGTTTGGAATACTCGCCCTTTTCTTAAAGGTATCTTGTCATATAATCTCAACCATCTTTATTTTAACATGGTTAAAAAGTACATGTTTCTTATAGTGAAAACTTTTTTTTGTGAAATATTTTGTGAAATAATAAAATCCTTCAATGTAATACTTTTAATTCTATAGATTCTTTTCCCTTCAGAATGGAGATGCTCTCTTGGCTTTTCTCCCCCCCCTCCTTTTTTTTTTTTTTTTTTTTTTTTAGTTGAAGTATCATTGATGTAGTGTTACGTTAGGTTCAGGTATATAACATAGTGATTAGACAACGCTGTACTTTATGCTGTTCACCAGCAGTGTAGCCACCATAAAAGGCTGTAACAATCCCTTGACTGTTCTTACTGTAGATGGCAGTAGTATGTAACATATATTGATTGAAGGTAGAAAATCTTCAGAATGATGTTCCAATTGCTATATGATTTTCATAGCCCAACTGTAATCCAGTCCAAAACTGCATGATTACATTTAAATTAAGGATTTCTTGGTGGTGGGGGTGGGGGCTGGGGAGGTGCTGAAATTTAAAGAAATGTTCATTTCCTTATCAGATCAACTGAATATAGGAAATAATTACCTCTAATTACCTCTAATTTCAACTTGGGATTTCAAAATTAAGGTTCAGTTTTACAAAACATATCTGACTCATCACCTATATAATTTTCCTGTATTCAGTGGTTGATCAAGTTCTGTTGGCTTTTCTTTGATTTTTGTTTCTTTTTTTTTTTTTTAAAGTCTTTCTTAAATTTTTTTTTAATTTTTATTTATTTATGATAGTCACAGATGAGAGAGAGAGAGAGAGAGAGAGAGAGAGAGAGGCAGAGACACAGGCAGAGGGAGAAGCAGGCTACATGCACCGGGAGCCCGATGTGGGATTCGATCCGGGGTCTCCAGGATCGCGCCCTGGGCCAAAGGCAGGCGCCAAACCGCTGCGCCACCCAGGGATCCCTGATTTTTGTTTCTTAAAGTTCTTTGTCATCGTCCTAATTTAGGAACTCATTGCATGTCACATGAACTTCTAACTTGTCTTTTTAGTTTGAGTGTATCATCCATCCAGTTTGTTCATTCAGCAAATGTTTATTGAGGATTTCTGTTATTGAGGGCACACCAGGCACTAGGCTAAGAGAGAACAACAGAGGATTGCTAATCACTCTCAGATCAGCAAAGAATATCAGCTGACAGTCTGACATTGAGGAAGAAAAACTAAACCAGAACATAGCAATTCATTTGCAAAGCCTTTCTCAATAATGATAACAGGTTTTTTTCTATGTCCTCTTTCCCTTCCTCCTCTCATCTTTTTTTTTTTTCCTACAAAGCCCTTTAAATCAGGTAAACTGAGCCTGGAGGCTAGTAATAACAGATACAGAAAAAGAACTTAGTAATAGTACTGCACAAATAATGCAATCTATCTCAAGGGTAAGTCGAGATGCTTAGAATTGCTTTGTGGAGACTCACATTCTAGAAATAGAGTAGACCAGAGACTGATCAAATACTCAGATTTTTCTTCTTAAGCTTCACACTCAAGGTCAGCATGATATAGGACATATGAATGTGTGATGTAGTGATTGGTGGGAACTATGTCCTTTACATTGTATTTTCTTACTGGATTTTATATGGTCCTTTCTGGCATATTAGTGAACAGAGATGCTGCTTTTTTTTTTTTTTTTTTTTTTTCATTTTAAGAGCTGTGTCTTCTGTCTCAGTTCATTAAATATTTATTGTGCCTTTTCTGCGAATATCTCCTAGCAAAGCACCAGGCCCTATAAACATTTGATCTACCCTTAAAGATTTTATACTGAAATGGAAGTGCGGAGGTGGGTTGGGGTATGTAGAGGTATAGGAGATATAAACCCATTGTCTAGTATTCATATTTTCTCATGAAGTAAGCTTCCGAATTCCTCATGTAATAGTCCTTGGAATATTGTAGAGAATCAGAGTTCTCCAGACATCTATCAGTGTTTATTGTCTTTTGTTTTTATTTTTTTTCAACTACAGAATTAACTTACTAAAGTTATTTCTTATTCATTTGTACATAGTAACATTACCCTACCCCCAAATTGGCAAAATGCCATACCATACACAGAGGTAACTAAAGTTCTTAAATATTTAGTAAATGAATAAATGTTGATGAGACTTTAATAACCAAAGCTGAACTAAGCTTAAAATGCAAATGAATCCTTCCCTTTGTTCTTTATGGAGCAAATTAGCAACTAACTTAATAATTGGACTTAGACCTGCCTGCAGGAACAGGTTTCATTTGATCAGGGATACAAAAATTAGTATTTTGACCTACATCAGGCAGTAGAAATAGAACTATTTCTTTTGTTTTAAGATCTGTCATTTGAATACTCTATGTAGCCCACACTGATGCTTTTCTTTCTTAATTGGAACTTAAACAAAATCTTACCATTATGGAAATTTTCAAAAGTATACAAAAATAGAATGTCCTCCCTTTAGGAGATCCAGAGATCTAGGGCTGCCCAGGTGAGGGTGGTCCTGTGCTTTGGGGTTGGAAAGAAAAAAAGAGAGAGAATCCCTGTGGGTCCAGCAGCTCATTCATGAGCAGTTACCCACCTGGGGCCAGTATTGTTGCATTAATACCCCCACTCATTGGACATGCCCTTATTTTTTTTTTTGACAGAAATACTTCTAAAGATATTTGTAGAATGCTAAATTATTTTTTGTACTGATTATTATAAACATTTTTGGAAAAAACATGGATTATTTACCAGTGAAGTCCTGGACAGCAATTTGGTAGTACATATCAAGAAACTTTTTTTATGGGACGCCTGGGTGGCTCAGCTGTTGGGCATCTGCCTTGGGCTCAGGGTGTGATCCTGGAGTCCCGGGATCGAGTTTCACATCCGGCTCCCTGCATGGAGTCCGCTTCTCCCTCTGCCTCTCTCTCTCTGTGTCTCTCATGAATAAATAAATAAAGTCTTTAAAAAAAAAAGAAGGAAACTTTTTTTAAAAGTCTATATCCTTAGTTCCATTAATTACCTTTCTAGAGTCCTTAGGAAGTAGAAATTAAGGCCCAGATCATTGTACAAAGATGCTCATCACAGCATTGCTTATAACGTTGGCTAATTGAATATATATCTAACAGTAGGGGATAATAAATCCACATGATGAAATGTTTCACTGTCTTTAAAATGCCTTTGAAGAATATTTAATGACCTAAGGAAATGCTCTTGAGAAAAGAAGTTAAAATTGTATCTATATATAATAATTCAAATTGTATAATGCCTTTGTATATATTTTGGACACGAAGATCTGATTTACTGTTGCCCTAGTTTGAATACATCAAGTTCAACTACAGTTAGGTTCTGTAATCTCAAAGCTTTTTGGTTTTCTGATTTTTTTAAAACATTATTAATTGTCAACTTAATCCTTCCGAATTGATGTTCACTTGCTGAAACCTATATGTGACCTCATGTCAGTATTTAAAATACTTGTGCTTTAAGATCCTAGAAAGTAAGTGAATGAAAACTTATGTTTTAGATGATTGATATTAAGTACATTTTAGGCAGTAAGTTTTCACTTTTATATGTAGGTTAGCAATCAACATTATTTTCTGCCTGTGTGATTTTCTTAATAACTGAGAATATTATTTTCTGTGTTCTAACTTTATAGATTATAAGCACACCACAGAGACTAACCAGTTCAGCAAGTGTTCTGATTGGGAGTCCATATACCCCTGCACCAGCAATGGTTACTCAGACACACATAGCAGAAGCTACTGGCTGGGTCCCAGGGTAAGAGTGTTGTTGCAAGTTACCATTTTTAAAACTTTTTTTTAGAGCTGTGATCTTTTCCTCTCACTATCTTGTCTTCCATTCTTGTTTTGTGTTGGCCTAGTCCTTAAAAACTAATGTGTTGCCTTTAAAGCCATATATTTTATTTTACTTTATATCTTAGATATAAATCATTTCTAGATCAACCATTTTTAAATAGAGAAAAACAATACAATAATTTTTAGCCTTATCTTCTGACTACTTTTTATGATTATGACATTTAGGTACTTTGGAGATGCAAAAACTATACTTTATATTGTTTTAACAAACATAAGAAAACAGTTACATAGTAAGTGCTAGCTGTACTCAGAATTTCCCCTGTAAATTTTTATTTCCTTAAATACCAGAAAAGGAACTAGGAAAAAGAGGCCAAATATATTAAAAATTTTACTGAGTTTTCTCTTGATCTTTTGAAACACTGGACAATTAAATCAGTATCTTTTGTGCTACTCATTTACCACTTTTAGTATCAAACTTTTACATGTTTCATCTCCGCCTGTAAAATACTCTCACCCAGCCTTTCTCTGCTCCTTCTCGTTTTAGCATTTCATCTTTCCATAAAAGAAAAATAAATAATTAAGATAAAGGATTCAAAACTTCATTTTGTCACCTTAGAAATTATTTCCATGGTGGTGTACTATATTGGTAGTTCTGTCTTTGACTTAACATTGTGAGTTCTAGCAAGCAGACAGTAAATCTTGGTTGCTTCAGAGCTTTCTTGTTTCCAGGATGTTGAATTAATGAAAAAATCCTGGCAAAGTGTTTTAAGCCATATATATGTTCACGTATATATACACACACATGAGACAGAAGAGTTTCATAGGTATACATACTTTTTCACTATCAAATAAGATGAAATGACACAATCATCTATATAATTCCATGGCCTTTATTCAGTCCTTACCCCCATGTAGGATCTGAAAGGTACCTTAGATTTCTGCAGGACCCTGAGAAATTATAACATGAAAGCCAAATCCATGCCAGTCCTGTTGGCCTGCTTTGGAGATGACCAGGGTTTGGATATTTTCAGCCCCAGCTGTGCTTTATATTGGGGTAGAATATTTGCTCAGTCATTCTGTAGTGACTAATACTTTTCTGTGCCTTCTCCTTTCTAAGTCTGAAATACTTTCCTTCCATATTCATTGAGCTCAATTCAGACTATGTTATTATACTGTGATCTTTTTGATCCTCTGGTAACATTTACTGTGTTGTGATTTCTTGGTCCTATGATAAAATTCACGTTTTTATTTTATGGACATACCTTTTCTATTTGTTAGATTTTTTTTTGTTTGTTTGGATATATTCACTGTGGAATTAGACAGGTTACAATAAATTATTCATGAAATGAGGTTGTGTTTAAATACCTGTTCTTTTTATGCTATCTTTTTTTTTCTTTTTAGTGATAGAAAACGAGCTAGAGAATTTATAGATTCTGATTTTTCAGAAAGGTGAGTATAAGTGTTAAGTATTTTGTTTGGGAGATGCTACTGTGTAGAGAGGAGTTTGGTGTCCAGACTATTCTAGTTTAATTAGAGCTGTTTTTCTTCACATAACTTTAACTTCATTGAGTTTCTGCCTTTATTTCATGCCTTTTACTGAGTGTTCTACTTTACTTACCATTGCATATATTCATTATATTTACATGGTTTCAAAAGAAATTACCCTATGAGTAGATTGGCTGTTGGTAATGTGTCATTTAGTCCTCTCCCTCCTTTTGGGGAGATGAAGTGTTTGACCAGAGTACATACTACTCCACATTACCTCAACCTGCCCAAACTTTTTTAAAACAAGTTTTATTGAACACATTTAAGGATGATAATAAGTTCTCACTTCTTTCTTAACTAATTTGTCAAGTTCTGTGTAACCTTTTCTTAGACTGTTAGGACAGTGCTGCTCAGTGTGCATCAGAATCACCTGTGGTGTGTTGAATGTCCTAGGAATGTCCACCGAGTCATTAACTCCAGAGTTAAAAACGATCATTGTAGGGTCATGATTTGAACTTCCAAGTACAGTGTGCCATGCAGGCCACTCTGTGGGGTACCATGTTAATGTTGTGCTATGTTAAAATAAGACATTGTCTTCAAGGCAAGAATTTTGTAATGTCGTTACTATTTTTTTAAAGGTTTATTTGAGAAAGAGAGAGCATGCACACATTGGGGGGAAGAGCAAAGGGAGAGGGAAAGAAGCAGATTCTCCACTGAGCATAAAGCCCAGTGCAGGGCTCTACCTCTCGACCCCGAGATCTTCACCTGAGCAGAAACCAAGAGTCAGACGCTTAACCAGCTGAGCCACCCAGGCGCCCTAAGATTGTTATTCTTTAAATAAAACTTTGCCAGCTATGCTTTTTAAAATTTATTTTTGATTCTAAGATTTTGTGACTCTTTTTCCAGTGGTGTTTTTTTTTTTTTTAATTTTTTTATTTATTTATGATAGTCACACAGAGAGAGAGAGAGAGAAGCAGAGACACAGGCAGAAGGAGAAGCAGGCTCCACGCACCGGGAGCCCGACATGGGACTCGATCCCGGGTCTCCAGGATCGCGCCCTGGGCCAAAGGCAGGCGCTAAACCGCTGCGCCACCCAGGGATCCCTCCAGTGGTGTTTTAATCTCTTTTTGTTAGGTCATCTGCTCTCAATATAATAGTTTTCTGTCTTTCCTATTTTCTAGTTTGCTACCTCTGATTTGCTGTGCACTGAGAAGCTAGATGGCCAAATCTGTTAGAATTCACCCTAAAATAAAAATAAAAAGACTGAGTGAGGATCTTGAGGCTATGTATATAAAAATGTGTGTTTTCTTGCATATGCCCCAGCTGTCCTTAAGTTCCTTTGTGGCATTTGTTGCTTGCTTCTTGGTTCTTAACAGTTTTGAACGGATAAAATCATGTCTAAGGAACTGCTGTATCATATTGGGATATATAGCGAAATGTTCTTTTCTCTCTAATGGAAATTCCTCTTTCCAAGTCCTACTGGTCTTTTTCTGTATTTATCCTCAGAAAGGGCAGCAATACAAGTTCTTACAGATGTATTTAGCAATGTTTAAGGCCTTAACGTGGCACTATTCATTAGTTATGATTGGTGGCACTTATGTATTGCAAACAGTATAAACAAGATTCTCTTTACACCCCTTTATAAGGGAGGCTTTTTTTTTTAAGATTTTATTTATTTATTCATGAGAGACACAGAGAGAAAGGCATAAACATAGGCAGAGGGAGAAGCAAGCTCCCTGTGGGGAGTCTGTTGTGGGACTGGATCCCAGGACCCTGGGATCGCAACCTGAGCGGAAGGCAGATGCTCAAACACTGAGCCACCCAGACGTCCCTATTCTGGCACTTCTATATGTGATTTAGAAGTCTCTCTTATGGGGACGCCAGGATGGCTCAGTGGTTGAGCATCTGCCTTTGGCTTAGAGCGTGATCCAGGAGTCCCAGGATCGAGTCTCATATCAGGCTCCCCGCAGGGAGCCTGCTTCTCCCTCTGCCTGTGTCTATGCCTCTCTCCATCTCTCATGAATAAATAAATAAAATCCTAAAAAAAAAAAAGTGTCAGATTAAATTTGTTGGCATAAACACTGATTCAGCTTTTTCCCTTTCTGCATATGATACAGTGACTTTTTTTTTTAGTGATTTTTATTCTTTTTATTTTTTAATATAACTTTACTGAAATGAATCCCTCCCCTTAGCCCCCCAGTCAGGTCTCAGAGATTATTACATGTGATTTTCTTTTTTTTGTTGTTTTTCTTACAAATGTTTATTTTCCTCCAAATGCATTTTGTTTTTCTATAATTCAGTGAAACGTCCTTGTTTCCCTTCTCCCAGTGTTAAGGTTCAGTAAGCTAGCTCTCAATCATAGGCTGATCTTTATCTCTGCAGTGTCTCCTGTTGATTTAGTATCATATGTAAGTATTTGTATTTGTTTTCTTCAGGGATTTATACATCAATATATTGACATTTATACATCAATATATGAGGCTTTTTATCCTCATCTTACCACTTGGCAGTACAACTTTAAGTATGTTTTACACAGCTGTTCCTTAAGGTCATTTGTTAGAGCAAGTCAGTTTCTGAAGAAATTTTTTTTTGTGGATGAAGGATCCATTGAAGGATTCTCAATTTTTTTTCCAAGTTCTGATCCACTGGACTTATTTTCAAAGAGCTTACGGAAGACGCTGTGAAAACCCCCTTTCTGGTCTTGTCTGGAGTTTTAATCCTGAAAGATGTTTGCTCACTTTCTCTTTCTACCTACGGACAGAATCTGATGGTGTCTTCTACATGTATCTCTTCCAAATGATCTTATTTGCCTTTTTGGACCTCTGCTGAGGGAAGAAGGTCCTGGGTGCCCCACGGGCAGTGATGGCAGCCTCTGGGTGTTTTTCTCCATTCCTATCTTAAATGAATAAGACTTAGCACAGTGGTGTTGTATTCTTCTCTTATGCTCATGTAATCTTAATGTCTTTTTGTTGGTGGAAAGTTAAAACTCCACTTATTTATAATAAACTAGTATAATTTAAACTATAATCTAATAATCAAAATCAGTATAGTTAATATCTGTAGTGCTTCAGTGATGTTTAAGAAATTGTTCGTTTATTCAGCATTTTATTTTTTATTATTTTTTTTCAGCAAACATTTTAAATATCTATTAACTGTTCTAAGGATTGGAGGGGATAATAAATGAGATAGAAAAGTCTGCCCTTAGCTTATATTGGAGGGGTAATAAATAAGATTATTTTTACATTATGATAGATGATATACAAAAAAAATAAAGATGATGGTGGCTGCTTTGGAGAAGACATCTCTAAGGAAATGATATTTGAAAGCAAAGAAGTCAGGCATGTAAATAGCTTAGGTGAGGTGGGGTTGCCAGGGATCCTGGGCAGAGGGAATGGCAAATGTAAAGCTCCTGAATGAGGAAACAGGTTGATGTATTTGGAGAAGCACAGTAGCCTGGAGATAGTGAGAAAGGCAAAGAGTGATATGAGAGTGGAAAGGTAGGCAGGAATCAGGTCATGTTGAAAGGCCTTGTAAGTCCTATTAGGAAATTTGGTTTCTTTTCTAAGGAGGATTTTAAGCAGGGAAATGGTATGATATAAGTCACATTGGCTGCTGAGGGATAAGTGGATACTAAGGAGACAAGAACAGAACAGAAGCAGGAAAATCAGAAGGCTATTACAGGGGGCAGTAGCCTGGTCATCAAGATGGATAAAAATGGGTAAATGATGGTGGTATAGAACCAAGAAGATTTATTGATAGATTCAAGGAAGGAAGAAGAGAAATGAAGGATAGCTCTTGTTTTTTTTTTGTTTTTTTGTTTTTTTTTTCTCATGAAAAGCTGGTGAATATTTATGCCCTTTACATTACTGTAGTTCAGTGTAGGTTTGGGAAGGAATTTTGTTTTGGATATATGAAGTTCAATAAGTTTATTAGTACCTAAGTGATATCATTAGTATATAAGTAGGATCATCAGCATGTAAATGGTCACAAGCCTGAATGATACAACCCAAAGAGGGAGAGAGTGAAGATCCATAACGAATAAACATTTATTTACCATTTCAGACCCCTTCTTCCCTTCCACACACATCATGGATACATACTGCCTGGAAAGTTTCGGATTTTTTCCTAAATTATTTTATCGAATTACCAAATTTAATTGTTTTGTGATTTAACTCTTCTAGTTGGCTCGTTTAAATGGGAAATGAAGTTTTTATTATATATGAATAACAATTCATTATTTAAGTAGGATAGATTTTTAAATAACTTCTACCCTGGGGTATACTGTTTTATACTACAAATTACTTTTGTAAATAAAAAGATGTTATTATTGAGAAAATATAAAAAGACAGTGGTTATGGGTTCTAGTTAACTGCCTGGAAAGATAGTATTCCTTGAGTACAATTCTTTTGAATACTTCAAATGAAATTATTAATAAAAGTTAACATGCATTTCAAACTATACCAATTAGTTTTATTTATTTATTTCTCAATTTGGCTCTATTTGGTGAAGAGTGCTTCCTACTGATTTTTTAATTTATTTGTGGACTAATAGAGATCATAGCACTTATACACCCTATGGCCATATTTTAGTGTTATTTGGAGAGAGGGTCTTTGAGGTTTTAAAAAGTTTGATTCTAAGAAAATGTGTAGACTCTATTTAAGATTTAGACAGTGAGCTTTCAATTTAAGATGATAGACTGAACACCATGTTTACACCCCAACCTCTAAAATCCTATTGAAATTTTCACATAAAAAATAATAAAAGGAAATACATTTCTAAAAGTGCTGTAAAAGGTGTAGAGATAAGATTTTCCAATTAAAAGATGAAAGCCAATGTTGTTATAATGAAGAACAAGTGATAGTAGAGAAATCCACATCCCAAAATATGCTCATAGAAGTCAAAATTAGAAATGGAAGCCATTCTTCCCTGTGCTGACTGATACAGAGAAGCTCTAGGCTTGGAGT